CCCAGGCTGGAGGATACACGACTGGCTCCACACAGGGTGGAGGTGCTGCTCGACCTGCAGCTGGTAAATAATGGAATCTTTCATGATGCACTACAAACATTTATCGTGAACATTACCAGCAAGTGTTGTGTGGCTTTCTCTTTCAAAAGGTTCAAATGTTGGTGTTTCTACTGGAGGTAGCAGCGCAAATACTGGTGCTAATGTTGCCCTAAGCCAGGGAGGACCTTATCCATACCCCTCCTCTGTAGCTGTGCCTTATAGTGCTCCATATGGAGGTGTTGCAGTGCAGCAGCCTGGTTTCTCACATGCTGCTCAAAGTGTGGCAGCACCATACACCGGCTCCAGTTACTCCGCTCCTGCTCAGGCAGGGGGAAGCACAGCTGGCTCTGCACAAACTGGAGCAACTTCTCAACCTGCAGCTGGTACCTAGTGTGATGATGCAGTATAAATGCAATCATTAGGATCTCCTGACCCGAATCCTTGGTAACCTTGGCTTAAATTTTGCTTTCCTTAGAAATCAACTGGGCTGTCCCACCTCCCAAGCTCGGTGAGGAATCATCACCCAACCCTCAAAGCCTTGCCTCTGGCACAGCTGATGAGCCTGGTGCGCTTCTACCACCAGTACCTGCGTACCAACCAGGAGAGTTGTCCCACTATGAGAAGGCTGCTGAGGCTGGGGACTACCAGTCGGAGACGGAAGAACTAGGTCGCAGGACTGTCCCAGCTACGATGGACGCTTTTGCTGCTGCGGGTGGACTGGCATCCCCAGGCTTTGCCACAGGACAGTTTGGAATGGGTGGACTGTGGGGTAGTCCGTATCCATCCTTTGACTTCTTGTTCCTGACTGGCCAGTACCCTGTGGGCACAGTCAGTCACTTCAGCCAGGACTACGAGCAGGGACGAGACTACTCTCACAGCACTCACTACCTGAAAGACCACCCCTACCCCGGCAGGTATGTTTCCTAATGTCTAAATTTTACCACAACTGCATGTTGAAATTGTACTTACACTTCCCTCTTGTCTTTCAGATAAAATACTAGCTGAATCCAATCAGCTTACTGAACTGGGCAACACAATGAACTGGTTAATGCTGCAATAAGAATGACTCCATGTGATACAATAAATTTGGTTTTCAGTGTTTTGAAACAGTGACTTCAGTCTCCTCTGTAGTGAGTGGTAATGAAGCTTTACACCCACCCACCCTCCTTTGCTACTCCGGCAAGGCTCTAGTGCCTGTTCACATGTCTGTGGATAAATGCCAATTGCTGTAGTCAGCCTTGGATACTTAATGGTTCAGTAGTCTATAGCTTCTAGTATATCTTCGATCTCTGATACAAAAAGCAAGACCCTAGTGTAAAGCCCCAATGATTTCCGAACTTGGGCAGATTCGCACAAATTTTTCAAACCCTGATCAACTAATTGGCATGATAAAGACAAGCTAATAATTCTAGGTATTTAATTTCCCACAGAAATTAAAGCACTTTACATAACTAAGACATCTGTCACGTTGGGAGTCAGACTACACGGAATTCATTTTACTAGTTTGCCATACCAGTAGTTCCTTTTCCAGTCTTAAAGTGAGGAAATGTAAAATCTGTGACATGTAGCTTGCAAATTTCGGATTCTTTTGGCATAAAACATGAACATTTGTATTGCATGATGTTGCTGCATCTGAGTATAAACACTATAGGACAAGCCTGCTGCTTTATATTATGCTGCCCCCAAGTGGCCAATAAATCAAGTTTTAATAACACTCCCCTGCACAGATGAATGCTGTGATTTCTGTAACTAGCATGTCAAATGAACATGCAACAATTTGTCATCAATGATTTGCAGACACTTTCACACAGGTGTTAACAGCATTTACAAATCCACAATCCTTTCTACTCTCTCGACTTGATATCCTCAGCTCCATGTGAAAGACTAACAACTATGCATTACAGCTCCACTTTCACATTAACTACCATTTATGAAGTAACTGCAGGCCGCATAAGACCAAAACAAAGAGGAAGACTATTTTGCTAATTTCTAGTTCCATCTTTATTTGTGGATTACTAGAGTAGCTTTGCATGATGCAGTTTAAAATCCTTATTTTTATTATAGTGGTCTTGGTGCACCTCTCAAGTTCATTTCCTGTCTGCAACAAGAAATTTCAGTTCCCTTCCCCCTCCCTTGAAATTAATTTCCTTTGGACTGGCTGCCTCTAGCATGCAAAAGCTTTGAACAGCGTTTGGGTGGGGCTTCTTCTGAACTCACAGCCATAGACGTGTGCCATGAGATGGCCATATCAATGATATCAGTTGTCATTGACATAATATGGAAATGAGCAACAACAAAAAACTGTTTGAGCACTGGCTCATAGAGATGACTTTCACACATAATGCCCTCAATATTTGAAACTTTGTAAATATTAAATATGATTATTCACCACTGTAACTGTAAATGAATGATTTATTTTATTGGCACATAGACAGACTCTTTATTTTTAAGATTTGTGTTAAAGCTCACCTTTTCAGCTCCACCAAGGCAGTTGGTTGCCTTGTGAGGTATCTCGGGCTCTGGAGGTATATGTTTTTGATTTGTGGGTTTTGTAGGGTTTGTTATTTGTTTGTTTACTTGTTTCTCACTTCAGTCCAACCCCCAGTCTTCTTTGTGTATCGTGTGTTGTCTGGGTTTTTCTTTGCTCTTCATTGCTGCGTCTCACTGTTCTGTAGCATCCTAGCTAGTCGTAGCAGGCGTCTATTTCTCTTGGATGTGTATTCCTGTTAAAAGGATGTTTGTCCTCCCTATTTTTGCCAAGTATTTTACCACATGGGATGATATGATCCCTGAGGTTATTGCTCTCATATTGTAGGGCTTACCTTACAAAGACTACCATGAGTCACTTGTTGTGAACTGCTGCTTCTGTCTGCATGCTGTTCAGAGTGAGCCAACAGCAAATGTAGGGTCTGGTTTTGGAGCTGTTCCTATATTAACTGAACTAAATTATTATAAGAGATCTTCCCTTTTCCCCATCCCCATGTGCTGCTCAAGAGCAGGGGTCGGTTAACCTTATTCTATTTCACCTATATTTTCATGTGAAAGTACTTTGTAACTGTAGTTGGTCTTAATCTGTTCTGAGGTACTATTATCTGCACTTGTGGCATGTGATGTTTCTTATAAGGGTCACTATGTTATAAAAAATATATAGTAATTCATTTTAAACAGTTTCATTGTTTATTGTTATTGTGACCAACAGCTGTACATTATTGAGATTTAAGCTCTGTTTATGAGAGATGGTTTTAGGACCTACATGAGACAAATTATTTTATTTCCCATTAAAGTGAATTTTAATTAAACTTCATTTTTATTGCACATTTCTTCCTAACAAATGTATAATGTTGCTGAAATGTCCAAAAAGCTAGAAGTCTAATAAGGGTCATATTGGCTCAGTGTTCGCACATCTCACAGAAAAGGTCAACAGAACAGTGAGAGATGAACTGGCACTGATGATTAGCATAAAACTGCTTAGATTTCCACAAAAATGGAATCATCTATCCAAATAACAAATGCAAATGAACCCTTGTTATTTTTCAGAATTTGACGTCTACACCATCTGAGATTGTTGTAGGGTAGTCAGCAGCTCCTCGCACCTAACAGGTGTAACTATGAAGTGAGAATAATGAGTCTGCAAGCAGGTCGATCTCAAAGCTTTACACGTCACAGACGTGGCTCTGTTTTTACCTGGGAAATCACTGCGGTAACTTATACTGAACGCTTAACCTGGTTAAGCCAGGTTATGTAGACAGTTTCCATCTAAAAGTGTTACGTCTCCACTGATTCCTTTATTTACAGCATGTTTAAGTGCCCTAAAGACTGTTGGCTAAATATGTTTTATATGTGCACACTGTTAAGCTGTACCTTTAGCACCTTATAAACACCATGAATAAAACCCAGCTGTAGTTACAGCAGCACAAATGCACATCACATTATCACCGGGATGTGACATGTGATGCACAAAATGTATAAATGCTTTTATACTTGTACTTTATACTATACATTTCTGCCACATGAATCACTTGTATTATTTGCATCAGTGTTGCATTTTAAATCTTTATTTTTCATACTATTTCTAGATTTTACCATCATTTTATTTTCATCATCTGATAATGTCTCTGATTGGACTCATTGTCTTCATATAGGAATTGTTGATTGTTGAAGCCCAGTTGATAGCCACCTTTATGATACTCCTTATCTTTGACTCAAGCTTGAGTCACCTTTCCAGCAGGTGTATTCCATTACTTCTTTAAGCTCTGATTGGTTAAGACTGCTTTCTCGCAGCATTTTTAACCCTTCACCTTTGGTAATTGTTCTACTGGTTGCCTTCAGAATGATGACTACAAGCCTCTCACTGGGGTATGTGGCAGGTGTAGTTGGCGTTTTCTTTTTACACAACTGACTACTTTTTGTAGGCACGTGATTGATATTTTCAAATGGTTTCAGGTGTTCCCTTTTTGTCTTGCTGGTTGTGGATATATGCAGCCTTCCTCTTGAGAAAGGTAGGTGAAACATTCCTAAACATACAAAACTTTGTGATAAATCTTCATTAATTTCAGTTTTTTCTCACCCAGGCTCTAATCCCAGCACTCAATACAGGATAACTAATGTAAACACTGCAGATAATCTTGCCTCAAACCCAAGAGGAACTTTAGCCAATTTAACTCCTGGACTTGTTCCCTACAGCCCTCAATACAGAGGGGTTCTAGTCCCAGCATATGTCAGCTCCAGTGTTTCTCAACCTACTCAGGCTGGTGGATACACAGCTGACTCTACATTAACTGGGGGTACTGTTCAGCCTGCAGCTTATAACCAGTGAAATATTTCATGAGTTTAAATGTGCATTGCTCTCATTACAAAAAGGCATTCTGCTTTCTCCTAGACTTAAATGTTGGTGCTTCCCCCGGTAGCAGTAACACAAACACTGCAGGTAATGTTGCCTTAGCCAGGGGGGGCCTTATGCATACCCATCCTTCTGTGTTGTACCTTATCAATACTCATGTATGGAGGGGTTGCAGTGCAGCAGCCTGGTGTCTATCAATATGCTCCCCAGAGCGTGCCAGTATTATATACTGGCTCCAGTTCTTCTGGTCCTGCCCAGGCTGGAGGATACACGACTGGCTCCACACAGGGTGGAGGTGCTGCTCGACCTGCAGCTGGTAAATAATGGAATCTTTCATGATGCACTACAAACATTTATCGTGAACATTACCAGCAAGTGTTGTGTGGCTTTCTCTTTCAAAAGGTTCAAATGTTGGTGTTTCTACTGGAGGTAGCAGCGCAAATACTGGTGCTAATGTTGCCCTAAGCCAGGGAGGACCTTATCCATACCCCTCCTCTGTAGCTGTGCCTTATAGTGCTCCATATGGAGGTGTTGCAGTGCAGCAGCCTGGTTTCTCACATGCTGCTCAAAGTGTGGCAGCACCATACACCGGCTCCAGTTACTCCGCTCCTGCTCAGGCAGGGAGGAAGCACAGCTGGCTCTGCACAAACTGGAGCAACTTCTCAACCTGCAGCTGGTACCTAGTGTGATGATGCAGTATAAATGCAATCATTCGGATCTCCTGACCCGAATCCTTGGTAACCTTGGCTTAAATTTTGCTTTCCTTAGAAATCAACTGGGCTGTCCCACCTCCCAAGCTCGGTGAGGAATCATCACCCAACCCTCAAAGCCTTGCCTCTGGCACAGCTGATGAGCCTGATGCGCTTCTACCACCAGTACCTGCGTACCAACCAGGAGAGTTGTCCCACTATGAGAAGGCTGCTGAGGCTGGGGACTACCAGTCGGAGACGGAAGAACTAGGTCGCAGGACTGTCCCAGCTACGATGGACGCTTTTGCTGCTGCGGGTGGACTGGCATCCCCAGGCTTTGCCACAGGACAGTTTGGAATGGGTGGACTGTGGGGTAGTCCGTATCCATCCTTTGACTTCTTGTTCCTGACTGGCCAGTACCCTGCGGGCACAGTCAGTCACTTCAGCCAGGACTACGAGCAGGGACGAGACTACTCTCACAGCACTCACTACCTGAAAGACCACCCCTACCCCAGCTTTGCACAGTCAGTGGGGACTGTTGGAGCAGCTCAGAGCCTTCAGACTCCCAGCTTGTATGTGAGCAGTCCAGTGGTGGGAGGTTACTACCAGGTTGGAGCACAAACAGTACCTGCTCCTTCCTACACAGGTGTTACGCAGGTATGGTTCCTAAAATGCCTACATGTCACAATATTGCATATTGTAACTGTACTAACTCTTTCCCTCTTTCCTTCCAGATAAAATACTAGCTGACTCTCAAAGGCATGAGCACAAGTTTAATCAATAAAGTCTTGTGAAATACTCCTGGTCACTTTTCTTATTAGTGGTGGTGCGGGAACGACTAAGGTTGTAGAAATTGCATGTAATGTAACTACTGGGCTCAATTTATGATCTGTTAAAAGACCGAATGCGCGCCTGAATTTAGACCTGCCCATGTGGGGTTTATGACCTTAAAGGAACTACTTGGGTTTTCTGTTGGCAACCTGTAGTGACCCATAAGTGGACAGTCCCACTTATGGCCTGGTATAAGCAAGTTTACCCTGCTCAGGCTGTCAAGAAGGGCATCCAGTTTTGTAAGTTGTAGATCTATATGTTAAGGTGGATCTCACACTGGCAGTAACCTATATACGCTTTCAAGTATTTAACATAAAAATACTGGAAGGGTTTACTTTCCCTGGTGGGAATTGCAAAAAATGTGGACACACGCAGTACAAGGGAATCACTTGGAAACCTTTCACCTAAGCTACAGACAATAATTTGAATCCTCCACATACGTACACATTCTGAAATCTACTAGATTATAGGAGGGTAACTATAAATAGCTGAACTCCCCCTCCCTTTGCCACATGGCTCCTTCTTTCACAAACATCCAGGTTACATTAGATGAAGAGCTGTGATTTGAGTTGTGATGTACAAGGTGTTGACAGGAGAACTGCAGTGAGTTTAGAGCGAAATGATACATGGACCATTTGATTCCACTCAAGAAAGAAAGCCTACTCTAAGGGAAATTATGTACATTCACTAAGAAAAGGCCCTCAAAAGTCACATTTGGGTTTCAGGGCTGAAAAATTTATTGTCAAGTACATTTATTTTTTTCAAAAAAATAAAATAAAAGTGTGTGTAATTTCTTAAAAAAATATTTAGGTGGATTTTATTGCTTTGAACAGAGCTGAGATAGACCACTCACACTGATTTGTGTTTCATGTTTCCTTTTCTTGACCTTTTGCTATAAGTATAAGTTTCCCAAATGTTGAACTGTTGCTTTTAATTTTATTAATTTAAGCATCCCTACAGTACTCTAAATCACCACACTTTACAGTAAGAGCTTATAAACGGGACAGGTGGTAGCTAAATTGTGTCTATATTTTGCTAAAAGAGAGAAGGCATATTTAATGGTTTCAGTGCTTATGTGTGTGTGTGTGTGTGTGTGTGTGTACAACCATGGTTTCCACAGCAGACGCAGCTGTCCAGCCTGGAGGACTGAGCCTATGTCACTGTAACTCTATTTCGGGAACCTGTGTTGTCCAAAAGGTCAGATAAAGAAGCACAGGAATCCTTACAAAGCAGAGGGCGGGGGTGTCGGGTGAAGGCGGATATTCACAAATCAACACACACACACACACACACACACACGTGTTAAAACTCAGGGCAGTGTTGCTGAGAAGGGGAGAAAGGCAGACAGGAGAAGTGGGACACAGAGACATTAAGAGGGGCTTTCACCTTTGACTGAATTAAAATGTCAGTGTACCAAAGTCTGATCTGACCTCTAATCCAGCTGATACACACACATTTATGGACACCATGGATGGAGAATCACCCAAACAGGACACATCCGATTCCACGGAATCAACCAATCCCACTGACACCAACAACAACAGCAACCAGGTCTGTATCATTTATTTATTTATTTAACATGTTCATTAACATTTTCACATTCACCCACAATGACTGTCCATCATGTTCTGTACTGGGAAAAAGCAGTGAGAGTGTTCGTGGCTGTAGCAGGTGCTGTGTTGGGACAGCAGAGCGGGAGAAGGGGTTGTTGGCTGCATTTGCTACACCTGTTCTTACTACTGGCTGAAGAATGACACATACACACGTAAATACACACTCACACAAGTTATGCAAAGTAGTGCACATGACACACACTAAGCCACACATACAACGTTGGAGTTTCCTATTCCCACTGATGAGTCACTGCTGTGATGCCTGACCTGGTGTGTCATTAATAAACAGGGTACATGGGCCTATTTAATCATGAGGAAATAATATTGTATGCATTACATTTTTTTTATATGAAGATTTTTAACATATGATGTGAGATCATTGGTTTTAAAACTGTAAAAGGCCAATTTTCCCCTTGAAAGTTCCAACTCTGAGGTGTATATTTATAATACTCAACAAATCCCAGAGCTCCAGGTCTCACATTACAAGGACTGTGTTATCCCTCGAGTAACTTGTGGAAAGTCCACTTTATTTATACAGCAGCTTTCATGTAAACAGCTCAAACGTTTCACATAGCAAGACCAAGAACTGAAGAACACAGAAAAATCACAAAGAATAATTTTAAAAATACAAATCAGAGTTAATGAAAGAAATACCTAAAAAAAAAAAATACAACACACAGCAAATGAACTAATGGCTCGCATTACAAATCTGAAATAAATAAAAGAAAAAACACAATAAACTTTTGTTCATTCTTCATACATTTTTTCATGAAAGAAACAGAAAAAAATCCTCTTTACAAGACTGAAAAGAAGAAGATAGTTATCAGAGATGTAAATAACTGAAAGAAAAGAGGAAGACTATCCTCTGAGTCATGCTGAAAAGAAAACATGTGATGTAGTGCCCCCACAGAGAAATGACTATGAAGAAGCTTCTCCCTTCTTTACAAGGGGTCACCACAGCGGGTAAATCTGGATCTCTGATCTGGCAAAATTCTATATGGGATACCCTCCTTCACCCAAACCCAGGGAAAGGAAATAGCAAAGAAAATTACTGTGTAACCTACACTGTTCCTTATACTGAATACTCCACCTTAAACTCCACCTTGTCTTGATGCCTTGGTATAAGGCTAGAATTTAGAAGTGATAGAACTATTGTCACAGACATGTATTACAAGTGTTTGTCACATATTTATTTTTGCACAGGCCGGCGAGCCAGAGGTGGAGAATAAAGACTTGGGGGAAGGAGCAGAAGGTCAGAGGGTAATGGAGACTGAGGATAAGGCTGAGGAAGATACTGTATCAGAAGAGGCAGAAAAGGAGACGTCAGGAGACACAAAGAAACCTCAGACTGTGTCACAGTCTGGTGAAGGCAATATTGAAGCAGATGCACAAGATAAGGAGAAAGCATCTACTGGTGCTGAGGTGAAGGATTCTGAACGTGAAGGAAAAGATAAAGAGGAGGAGGCAGAAGAAACCGAGAAAGGAGGGCAAGTGGCAGAGATCCAGAGTAGTGAGACTGGAAAAGATGGAGAGGACATGAAGGACAAAGAGAAAGAGAAAAAGGAAGAAGGTAAAGATGTGAAAGAACAAGAGGCAGAGAAGAAAAAACAAGTGACGGAGGAAGATGCAGAGCCAAAGGACAAAGGAAAGACAAAAGAAGCAGAAAAGCAGGCAAAGCCCAAAAGAAAGAGTGGTCCCCCCTCCTCTTCTCTCTCTCGACCAAGACCCTCTGCACGCTCCATAAGAGCGTCTGCTAAAAACGACATCATCGCCAAGTTCCAGAAGGGCGCACCAGAGTGAGTAAATACATGATGCTTAGTACCTCAAATTAGAGTGTGACAGTTAAAAATGTTCCTCAAGAGGTTAAATCAGAAACTGTGTTGCAACACTGCTAGGACACCAATACCTCGCAACTTCAAGATTCAGAAGTCATCTGCTGCTGTGGCTACAGGAGCTTCAATCAAACAGAAGATACTTCAGTGGTGTCGCAACAAGACTCGGAACTACGAGGTGAGCTCAGCGTTAAATCTTTATCTAATGCGACACATCCGCATTCTAGATCCAGAGATAAAAGAAGACCTAATTTAAGATGCTCTTCCCATGTGTCTGTCTCTTGCATTTTTTTAGGGCATCAACATAGAAAACTTCTCGTCATCCTGGTGCAATGGGATGGCATTCTGCGCTCTGATTCATCGTTTCTTTCCAGATGCTTTTGAATACAGCTCACTGAAGCCAGAGGAGAGGGAGAAAAACTTCACTCTGGCCTTCAAAACTGCAGAGTATGGATTTCTTCATTCTTTCTTCTCTCAGTTCAGTTCAGCTAAGACTGAATAACACAATTACAATATTTAAGAGTCGGAACTTTACATGCAGCACATAATATAACAAGGTCACGGTGAATAATACAAAAGGAGAACTGCTGTGAAAAGAATGTAACTAAAATAAAATTCTGCATGTTGGCTGTCCAAAAAAGAAAGTTTCAGGAAAACAATGTATGGAATGACACTATTAATGTAAATGCACCTGGTTAGAAATCTCTTATTCATATTACTATGAATGACTGCCACCTTGTCACCTCAACTTTATCCTTTCCCCTCCTTTGTGTATCCCTGACAGGTCCTTGGCTGACTGCTGCCCTCTGCTGGAAGTGAGTGACATGCTCATGATGGGTAACAACCCAGACCCAATGTGTGTGTTCACATATGTCCAGTCCCTGTGCCACAGCCTCTCCAAAATAGAGAAAGAGAGGAAGGACAAAGAGAAGGGGGAGAAAGAGAAGGCTGGTAACGAGGAGGAAGAGAAGGACAAAGGAGATGATGCAGCAGGAGAGGTGTCGCCAGAGAAAGATGAGGAAGAGTCTGCTGAGAACGAGACGATGAGCAGTCAGGAGGATAAACCAGTAGACGGTACAGAGATGGAGGGCACTAATGAGGAAGGGAGTCCATCAAAGAGCTGTGTGGTGGAGGAAGGTCAGAGTTCATCAGTCGAGGCAGAGTCTTAGACAGACACTGGCAAACACAAAGACTGAAAAGACCAAAAAGATTGTTTATGGTACTACAAGGAGCAAGTCTTAGTCTGGCATTGTTGGACTGACTACTGTCGGAGTAATGAGGTACAACAAAAAATCACTCAAAACTAAAATACTGGTGATGATGATGTCTCGTAGTTACAGCGTGTTTGAAAATGTACTTCTGTGTGTGTTTTTTCCATTTACGGATATGCTGTTTTTTATGTTGTTCTGGGCACGAAAAGCAAGAAATTGCTGTGTATCTATGAAAAAATAATAATGAAACAAAGATCTTGTGAATTAAAAAGCTGCTTGTGCAATAAGAAAACCTTGAGAGAGTGTGTGACG